CATCTCCTAACAGGTCCTGATGGCAATCTCTGTACCAAGTATTAGTAGTATTAAGAAATATAAGAATGAGGGGAGGCACCAGCATCTCTGAAGAGCTGTGGTGGCTCTCCTCCTCAGGCTAGAGTTAACAGTGGAAGATTTTGCCATTGAGATGGAAAATATGAACTATTAATATGTAACAGAGATTTCAGCAGAGGGAATAGGTTATACCAATGTTGGAGGGATGAATAAGGGAAAAAGCTCATTCACTGAAGTCTTCCACAAAGAGTAACAAATAGAAACAGCTACCAACACTGAGGCTGAGAGAACAAAGGGAAGAGGCTGGAGTTATAGACCAAGAAGCTTGGAAGAAGGGCCCTGGAAAGCTGGAACTCAGGCTCCACAGAGGGGGCACTGCAGCCTTTGACAGGTAAGGCTGGTTCTGGGAGGCCTTCAAAACTGGAGGGTGAAATCAACTGCTGTGAATCCACTGCTAAGGTGATACTGGTAAGAACAAGCAAACTCAAAGGAAGGAAGTTCCTCTTCCCTCCTGTTTCCCCTTCGTCTTTCGGAATCTCATATTGACAAAACCCAATAAAACACAAGTTAGTCAAGAAGAAAACTAGTTTGCAGACGCATAGCCCAACAACACAAAGCAGAACATTCAAGAGGAGATTTGGGACTGAAGGACAACAGCTTTAATAAACACACACAGAGAGGACCAACAGTTAGCATAATGGCTATGTTGCTCAACTCCCATGTAGTCGACTGCAGTTCAAATCCTGGACCCGGTGGCTTAAACACACCGGGCGCATGTGCGTGCATGCCCAAGATCCCGAGAGGGGAATGGAGGAGATGGGATTGCAGCGTGGCCACCCCCACTCTGGGGTGGGGGGATGATTTCTTGCTGTCTGTTTTTCCTAGCGCATGTGCTCTATAGCAAAAAACTCTCAAAAAACTCTCAAAAAAAAAAAAACAACACACAGAACTGGCCTTATTCTGTTTTGAAAAACAAATCCTGTAAAGGTAGGGACTTTAGTGGAATCCCCATCAGTTGCCAGAGTCATGTAAGATTTAGTAAGAGGCCAGCAGGTGGTATGGTAGTTAAAGGGGCTGGATTCCCGTATGATTGACCACGGTCTGAGTCCCAGACCTGGCGGCTTGCTTTCTCACTTTCCTTTTCTCTTTCTGTCTCTCTCTGATCAAATTAAAAAAAAAATAGTAATAACAAATGGAATTAAATATTTCTTAAAAAAATAGATATAGTACGATTGTTAAACACCATGGATGATATTACTATATCCTTGAGATATGTGGACCTCAAATACTAATATTTATAAGAACAGCATCTACTTATATATACTTTAAAATGTATTTAGCAAGAAAATTTTTTCTACTCCAAGTAGGATTATTTAGGAAAGTCATATAAAAGAAGTAGCATCTGCCTTTGTATAAATGGTGGAGGCTCTTGCTGTCAGTGCTTTGATAAATAGAGGTACTGAGGGTAGCTTAACTGCTCCTAAAAAATCATTGCTGGGGCCAGCAGGTGGCATGGAGGTTAATGTGCTGGATCCCACATGGCCAAATCCACAGTTCAAGTCCCAGACCCAGTGGCTTGAAAATCACACTAGGTGTGTGTGCATGTGTGCCCAGATCCCCAGAGGAGAACAGAGAAGGGATCGCAAAGTAGCCATCTTCCCTGGGGGGTGCTTGCTCACTTCTCTTCTCTCTGTCTCTCTTTCTCTTCCCCTAGCATATGCACCCTATGACAAAAACCTTAAGAAAAAAAAAAAGTCATTGTTAAGAGGCAGGGATCAGCTTCCATGGTGATGGGATTTCTGAAGAGTTTACTGATAAAAGCTGTAATGTAAGGTCTGAGAAATTTGCAGTCTTTCTAAAAATAACTGAGGAATCAGCAAAAAACTCAGCACTGTACCTATCCAATATCTTTATACCCAAATAAGGCTGACAGAGAGGACTTCTGTACTAAGAAGTTAATGCTATTTGTTCCAAGATTGATTAGACAGATTTACTGGAGGAAGGGCTGACATACAGTGGTCTTGTATCAGAAAGTAGAGCAACGGCAAGCTGTATGATGAGGACAAAGAACTTTTAATAACAACCTTAAATGGTGTTGATATTGAAACGCTCAGCCCAGAATTATCTATGTCAAATTAATTACACTTCCCTAGTCTTTTTCTTTTCATTAAAATAAAAATGATAATGAGCAACACTACTGTGCAAGATGCATATCAGCTTTTTCTTTGAAATACTCAGCACCCAATGAATATCAATTATATGTTATGCATGAGAAAACTCCAACCATTAAGAGCTGTGCAAAAATTATTTTTATTTCAATGGCAAATTATAAAGAAAAACACCCAAATTGTTATGCACATTGCATTTACAGCTTTTGTTATTTTTAGCATGTGGTTTTGAACCCAAATTCCAATGAGTCACATGTACTGTTGCCAATAGTATTTTCAGGGAAAGGTTTATTTGAAGCTACATCACATTGAACCATTTTGTGAAAAATGTTTTTTAAAGTCTATCTAGTTCATTCATGACAGAGAGCATGTGTGAACACATGAGAGAGAGAGGAAAGAAAGAGGCTTCCTAGACAGTCTCATCTTGCCATGATCATTTTCTGTCCCTTCAGCTCATCCAGATATCGGGCACACACTCACATGCCTGGTATGTTTTCAAGCTAACCCAGGGATCTGAACCTGTGGTTGGCCATGTGGCTTCCAGCACTGTAGTTCAGTTTGTTAGTGACTGTACCACCAGGCCAGGTTCCCCCTCAACACACCTTTTTAAAAAGCTTATTTATTGGGACAAGCAGAGGGCATAATGGTTATGTCATTGGACTCTCACATGGCCAACGGTTCGGTTCGAGTCCCAGACCCAGTGACTCGACAATCATGCCAAGTACATGTGCGTGCTTACCCAGAATCCCAAGAGGAGAATGGAGGAGAAGTGATTGCGACTTGGTCATCCCCCCAGGGGGTGATTTCTCTGTCTGACTCTCCAGCAAGCTCACACCCTGTAGCAAAAAAACAAAACAAACAAAAAAAAAAAACCTCTCTTTAAAAAAGGAAAAGTTTATTTCTTTCATGAGAGAGGGAGAGAAAAGGAGAAATCGTGTTACAGGTATCCCTCAACAGGTCTTTATACCATGATCTACCCCGACCCTAGCTTTAGTCAGCCCTGGATCATGAACACATGTGCACACATCGGTGTGTAGAGAGAGATCTTGGAACACGAAACAGAGAACTTCCCAAATGGCCTCGGCATCATGAAACGCTGTATTGCCACTGCACCACCATGACTGGCCAGAAAAATGGGATTTTATAAAACGGAACTGTTTATTGTCAAGAAGCCGAAGGTACGTGGACTATTGGAATGATATTTATACCCTAAAAGTAGATACTTTTGAATTCCATTTCTGTTGGAGCCTAACATCAACTGAAAAAGATGGTCTATTTTCTAATCATTTTACAGAATAGAAATAAAGATCACTGGGCTTATTATTGATAATTGGAACAGCCAACAAGGACTGTAGAACCCATTAAAAAATGCTCTGTGACTTGTTATATGGTTGATAAGAGAAACGGGATAGAGATTTCAGTAGAAAAGCATGTTTTAAACATGGAAGAATAATGTTTAAAGAATTGCTCATTTGTTTCCCTCTAGAAATCTTCCGTACATAGTTCTCTTGGGAACTCTAATCAATTAAAACCTTACATGCTATTCTTGTGAGTGGAATGAGTAATACATTTCTTGTGTTATTATATAAATGAATCTCATCCTCAGGGCTTTAAAATATTGCTTCATCCAGACTATGGTGAATTTGTGTGTCATCTCATCTTTCTGCATTACTGTAAAATTGATTTTATGATTCCTTACTCATAAATTACAGTCCTGAGGCAGTAACAGCCTTGGAAGTACTTTTGCTTGTCTTCCCTAATCTCACAGGCTGGGCATTGTCACTTGTGCATTTTTTTCTGAACCACATCTAGCTTGCAATTCTGGTTATATTGGGTCATCAAGAAGTCATGACACATTTTTGCATAGAAACAAAGAAAAATATGTCATGACTTTTCTGACAAGCCAAAAGTTCTCAACCTGGAACAAGAGTAGTCTGTTAGACCCACACTGTGTTCTTGGCTTTACTTCCTGCAAACTGAGATCAGCCCTGAAGCCTTAAGCACATCTTTGGAGTTAAACATTTTATGAATAACATGATCACCATGCAAATGAATGCACATGAGAACATGCTTCCCTTTATAAACTAATAGCTCCCCAAATCAAACCATGTCTTCTTTCTGCCCTCACCTTTATGTCCTGGTATGAGAGCAAGGTGACCCTTGGTAATATTCTGATTTCTAGTCGTCTCCTAGTGGATTCTGCTTTGCTGTAAGAATTTGGTTACACTGGGGCCAGCTGGTGGCATACTGGTTAAGGCACTGGACTCCCACATAGCTGACTGCAGTTCAAGTCCTGGACTGGGTAGCTTGAAACTCACACTAGGCGCATGTATGTGTGTGCCCCAAATCCCAGGAGGAGAATGGAGTAATACCTAGAATGAATTGTTTTCTAAGACTTGCATAAATATTCCCTCCTTTCAGGCAGTGATGGAGAGAAGGGAAGACAGATATGAGGTTTACCCAGGGGATTTTTCAAACTATACATTCCTCCTCTATATACTGATATATGGAGTATATATACATATACATATGTATATATATATATATGTATATGTATATATACTCCATATATGTATATATACATATACATATATACACATATGTATATATACATACTCCACATATGTATATATATATGTATATATATATTTGTAATATATACATATATACCCCTGTTCTCTCCCTAGATATAGTTCTCCAGTGACCCATTGACTGTACTGTGTTAGGGGTAAAAAAAAAGTTAAGAATTATTGTTTGGGACTTGGGGTATAAACTGTTTCCAGTTAGAATTCCACAAAAATTTAAGAAGACATATTGTTTAAATTACATTGTTTATTTTTTAGATTATCCATCCCTCTTAGTCCTGCATGCATTGTTAGCATAAAAAGTTGAACTTGATTACAACCTCCTTTGAAGAGAGAGTAGGTACACAATCCCCATCTGAAGAGTTTCTCCATGGATGGCCCAAGAATTCCAGACCTTGGTAACACTGTCAGTAACCTACACAACATTCAATAGAAAAATTTACCAAATATCCTCTGTTTAATGTAAACAAGGCAGGAGGCAAAACAAGAGTATTACAGTAACACTATTTTACAGGGCCCAGAAATATGATTATCTCTCATGTTTTAAAGTGTCACAATGACATGCATATTTTGATTTACTACAGAACCCAAAATAGAATTACCATATAGTTCGTGGTTTTAGCATTCCACTCCACTTAACTTCTGTCAATGTCTATGAATTTCATAATTAAATGGTAATTGTATATTAATGCAATAATTGATGGAAGTATGTTACCATGAATTTATGAAATAATTCCATAATTATTTGTGCCCTGTAAAATTAAGTGTAACAATCTTTACACTAGCAACAGTGTAAGCAAGCTAAGGATTTTTGGTCCATATATATATATATATATGTATATACACACACACACACACACTCACACTCACACGTATATATACACATGTACACAAAGAATAATGTACAATTAAACCAAAAAGCTATGAATCCACTCACAGCTTCCATATTGCACAAACAGATACTTTGTGAGAACATTACATAGTTATAATGTGAGTTACTACAGTGATAATTGGCCAAGACAAATCCGAGTTCTAGCAAGTGAAAAATGTAGCTCGATACTAAAAATAAATCCAAAGTCTATAATGTTAGAAAGTTCTTTTTGTTTTGTTTTAAAGGTTGATACCTCTTCATACAAATGTAAAGCAAGGCTAAAAATCAGTCTGGAACTTGCTATGGCAATCAGTTGTGAAAGTGGTACTTTCCACTTAACAGTGCGTTTTATGACTGTTTTTGCAAGTACTGAGTAAGAGGAATATTCAGCTTCTGAGAGGAGAGAGACGGTGAGAAAAACACTAGTGGTACAGTACAATGTCTCACTTGTATCTCTTACGAATTTGTGCTGGCAGTAGATCTGAACTAAATATGAAAAAAAAAGAAAAAAGCTTAGGAAAGAAACAAATCAAGCCTCAAGCCCTTGCTGATTAAATCAAAGTCATTATAATAACTTAGGAAAATTACATTTCCAGAAGCAGCATACACAAACACAAATAATGAGTTAAAGCTTTTCTGAGCTTGGTTTCATGGATTAGCCACAAGGTTCCATTGTGAAATCAAGGACAAAAGAGTATTTGGTTTGAGAGATAACATCATTGCTGTGATGCCTATTGAACACTATCAAAACATTAAGAAATAACTAATACCTCTTAATGTCTTATTTTAAATAGACTTAAATCAAAGAAGACTGTAACTACATCTGAAAATAGAGATGGTGCAGTGTCCCTTGCATGAACTGATCAATAAATACGGCAGGCTGAATAATGCTTTCTCAACATTCAAAATCATTTAAGTTGTTTTACTTAATAAAATTGTTAGACTGAGCTAAAAATGATTTGCATTAAGTAGAAATTGAGTATTTTTGTTGTTTTTAAGTGGCAAGCATTCTAGAGCCGAGACTATTCATAACCTTTGATATTTTGTTCTTAATAAATAGCAAAAACTAACTACAATATAAATCAGTAAAGTGGATACAACAAAATGAACAGGTAAGTGTGAAACATACGTCTATGCACTTCACGCACCTCGTACGGGCAACCATGCTACATGAAACGACTTTTTTGAAGGGGGGTGCTGTTCCCTTTCGTCTGGAGTCTTTGATCGTCTAATTCCCCAGGTGTCAGTGAAGGAAAACGATAAAGAGGAAAAGTGCTGCTGCCTAACATTTCGACTAAACAAAAAAAAACCAAGAAACTGATAGCTTAAAAGCAAATCTGAGTGATAAGCATCACTCAAAAGGATAGAAAGGACTAGCAAACGCCACGGAATAAATCAAGTATGAACACGCTGTGCACAGCACAGCTCTGCTCCGTGGGTCATTCCTACATGTATACCTCCACACACCCCAATTTCCCCAGAGCCTTTACCATGTAAACGGGACATTTAAAAGACTGTTTCCTTTCATCTTTAGGATCATTTTAAACAAAAGACTGAACACAGATTTTAAAAATGTAAACATTAAGGAGGCCATTGGCATTCTGATTGCTGTTTAAGTTATCAGTCAGCTCCCCACCTAGACACTACCACGTGCTAAATAAGATAATCAAATTATAAAAGTGGGGGGGGGGTGGCGAAGAAAAGGTTCTCAACCCAGTACATGTCAATTAGCTTAAAAAAATACTGTTTTAGCAAACACTACCAATGATGAGCATAAATTCAATGTTGCAAAAAGGACACAGTTTACATAAACTGGGACCCATACATGAAATCAATCACTAACATGGCTATCTGCACAAAAGAGTAAAAGAACATTTCTTTAAAAATATATATTATATTAATCAAGAATTTCTTTATCATATTAAATCGTTATTCTTAGAAAAGCTGAAGAAAGTTAATGATGCTCTACACATTATTTTTATCTTCTGTAATTAATTCAACTCACTTGATGATTCCTGAACAGTATTTTTTTCTCATTTACAGTTTTTTTTTTCATATTTTTGTTTGATAAGAATTCTGGCCTTAAAAAGTTATAAAATTAGTCATTTTTTGCTACTTATTAATTTGAAAGCATATAAGCATTGGAGTCCCAGAGAATGTCAAAAGGCCTTGCTACCTAAAAGGATATTAAAATAAGAGAAATATCATCAAAGTCATGACATCAGAAATTTTACAGCTTTTCACACAGTCATTAGAAATGCTTATTTCCTGAAGTTCCTTTGATTGTATCCTGGTTTCAACAACGTGCAATTTTATACACAGAACCATTTATGATAAAGCCAATGAAAATAATATATGACATCTTACTGAGTGTCCGTCCATTCAATAGGTTCTTAATGGTTCTCTCTAGTTCACAGCAATATTTCATTAAAAAGGCTTTTATCCTCCCTTGGCTGGTCAGAACCAAGTCTTTTGTGATGAAATGTATACAACAGTTCTGTTTTCCCAGTTACTTGAAAGATGTAATTTATGGCGTGGAAGAAGCGTGGTACTTCACAAATGCAATGGCAGCCAGCTCCTTACAGAACTCTTCCAACACAATCACACCCTCCAGCAACGTGATGTGGTCAATACTGGGGAGGGGAGGCAGACAATGAATCAATTCAAGGTATCAGCAGTAAGTAAGTGTGGTGAAAATCTTGGAAAACAATATATGAAGCACTGACTTACACAGGGCCTTCAGGTTCTAACCCAAGTAATCGCTTTCTGACTAAAAGAAGCTTGGGAGTAAAGTCCTGAATGCGCTGGATTCGAACCATAAGGTCTCCAACAACCTATGATACAGAAATGACTCAGTTCTTGAAAGCAACCACACAGATTCTTGGGATTTAAAAAAAGAAAAAAAAATTCACTGCCTATGACTAAATAAAAAAAAAAAGTCAACTTTTACTACTTATATAATCATCTTTGACCAAGAACTCAATCTTTAAAATATAAAACTTATATAGCTTTTAAAAATCATTTTTTCCTTTTCCCCACATTCTGTGAAATAGCTCAGTATATTACTTTCAAGCAGCAGATATATAATATTGTTCATTATGTGACAGTGATTACATACAATGATATTAGGATGTTAGTTAAACGGGTTTATCACACCTAGAGAATGTAAGAGATTTATTAACTCACCCTGACGATTACAGAGAAGAGAGATCTACAGCCAGAAGCAAGGTTCACGTAAGGATCCAGAAGGTACTCGTGTATGTGTGGGTGAGGGAAAAGAGAAAGTCTAGATAACACCGAGGTTACTTGTAAGTTTACATCATATGGCTATGGGGAGGTAAAAACAGACATTTGACATTACTTAGAATGTATATACCTGTGCACATCATTTATCATATCAGTTTGTCTTTCTAAAAGCAAACTCCACCGTCTTACTCCTCCCCTCCACATGCTCTTCAGCAATGAAAATGTCTATAACTAAATTAGATCTCACATTTTAGACAGAACATATATCACAGTCATAAAACTCAGAAAATAATTCAAAAGCACACAAATAAACATACAGAAAAAATACTATGTGATATAGTCAGGATGTCAGTTTTATGCAGGTTGATTTAAAAAATGAAACAGTTCAAAACACCATCGAAACCCAGCAAGGTATCACATCTAATAATAATTACAAAGAGCAAAGTGAGCACAAGAGCAAAGAAACAGAAGGGAGAGTTTCCCATCTTTCTAGATATAGTAATACAATTTTAGAAATGACATTCCTCACCTCAGATTATTCAACTACTAATTACCAAAAGCATGTATATAGTAAAATAAAGTCCAATCACAGAACCTTGACAACAGAATGAAATGACTTGGGGATAGAAATGACTAACCCTCAAAGTGAGTGAGAAAATTCAAAATGATGATTACGGACAAGGATCATCTCATTTACTGCTTAATACACTCCCCAACTGTACATCTTTGTATAGTCCTTCACATATTTTTGGTATGTTAGTATCACTATTTGAATTTTAGTTGTTTGTTTCTCTTTATTCTTCACAGAAAGCAGTCTGGAAGTGCTTTATAGAGCAGATCAACGTCAAAGCAACAGATACACTATACAAAAAGAGTTGTTATTTGTTGCGTAGAAATTTCATCCTTTCCAATTTTTTTCTCTTAAGGAGCAAGATGAAACTGACTGCCTATATACCAAAACCAACTACAATGTGGAGACCGATGGGGACCGAGGTGGCTGGATGAATGAGTAGACATTACAGCACAGGAAAGGGAAAGTGAGCAGGAACAAATTTAGTATTAGCCATGGCATCTCCATTTTATTCTCATCCGCTGAGCAGCTTTTAAATCCTCAATCATGAGAGTGCCGAATTAGGTGGGAAAAAGCAGAGTGTCAGAAATAGGGGTTAAAAAAATACATATATTCATGTATATGTGAAACTAGAAATGAAAAATTATTCAGTATATTCTGAATGAGAAATCACATTTTGTATGCTGTGATGATGCTCAGGGAATGAATGTAAATTAATTAATTTAAAAAAATGTTTCAGGAAAAAAAAATCTAAAACTGTTTTTCTTGAAATTAAAAAAAAAGCATTAAAAACACCTATTTGATGACTGCAGTAAGCTAGGTAGCCCCAGCTAGGTGCTACTTTATAGTATGTTCATTCTACTCACTGAGGTTTATGCCTAAAGTCAGACTTGTGTTCATGGATATGTACATATCAGCTGTGCTTGCTATTGAAAATATTTAGATTAATTAAGATCTTTAGTGACTCAATAAAATGTGGGGGGAAGGCATAGAAAGCAGCCATGGGATACCAGAGATAGTGTGGGAGGAGGGTGGGACATGGCAGAGGGTGAGAGATAGGGAATCAAGGATGGGAAAAAAAGCAAAATATACAGGAAACAAGAAATGGAAAATTATTTGATGATAACAGTATGTTGACGTGCTTGACTGAGCCAATATATAGTGTATTCTGGATGGAAAATCTCATTTTGTATGCTGTGATGATGTACAGTGAATGAATGTAAATAAATAAATTTAAAAAATTTATATATATATGTGTGTGTGTGTGTATATATATATAATCCTCAATCATGATGAATACCAATTAAAAAGCGGCATTTAGAGGAAAATGGGCATGTGCCAGAAAGTATCAATGACACGATGAATAACATATGCTTTGTTACATGAACAAAAAGTATGCTTGAGTCGCTCTTACTCAGAATCTAGCTGTAAGTAAGACAAATGAAAGAAATACATATATCAGCTCATAACAAACAATGAATTCACATTAAATTGTGTTTTAGGTACAAAGGAAACAATTTTAAAAATCAATGTAAAAAGAATGCATTTGGGGGGGCAGACCCCATAGCCTAGTGGTTAAAGGGGAATGGGTCTCACATGAGTGACATGGTTCAGGTCCCAGTCCCCATGGCTTTGGGGGCATAGCAGGAGTATGTTAAGTATGCACAGGGTTCTCACAGGATAGAAGAATGGAGAGGAGGGGAGTGCAGTATGGCCACACCCCATTGAGGGTGATTTATCCCTCTCTGTCTCTGTTGAGTGCAGATGCCCTCTGGCAATTACAAAAGAAAAAAAAAAAAAGAATGAATGTGTACAAAATAATTTAAAATACTACTTATGTCTATAATTGTACATAACTTCATTTCAGGTAGTGAAGATATTAAGGTTACTAAATTCTACCATTTATAGATGCTTCAATAAATAAGCCAACACAATTTGGCTTTTTTCCCTTTCTTTCTTTTTTTTTTTTTTTTGGTAGGTTATGCTTTTATTAACTGAAGTCAATAAAATTGTGTAAATGAAAACTTCAATACTTTAAATATAAACTATATTTTTGGACGTTTATTAGAATTTATAAAGGTATCCATAATTATCTAGTTATATATGACTTAATCACATTTTAACAATCAGATGCGATATATTAACATTTAATCAACAGAATAAAAGAAAAGTCAGATCCCACATGCCAACCAACTCTGCTTCGAATCCCTAGCCTGTTAAAAAATAAGCACAGAACCTTTAGACAACTAATTAGTACTTTGTAAAAGATCAGACAAATCTATTAGTTATATAAAGTCCATTAAGTTTCCAAAAGATTAAAAATGTTAAAAAAATTTTTCCTTCTATATGAGTCCTTTCTACATTGATAATGATATAAGTGTAACTATGTTTAAGAAAATAGCATTTGTAACGACTTATTTTAAGTTGATTGAAGTGTTGGTGAAGTAACATAACTAAAATCCATTTCACTACCATTTACCATCTAACATATGGAAATCTTTCGCAATTTAAATATCTTTCATGAAGCAGATAATTAATGGTCCATTTTAGACAGAAACAGAGCTAGACTATATCAAATTACATATTATACAATATGGTTAGTCACATGACTCCTTGAGTAAGGAAGCCTCTCAATTGAAACAGGATGATTTTTAGAAATAAGACTTATAATCTGCTATATACTATGTAAGACTAACCATTACATTGAATTAATGATTATGTTTAGAGATTAAGTTTAAATTTTTCATTTAAAAATATTCTTGAAAATACTAACACAAGATCTTCAAATATTCCATTTTAGTTAGTATGGCTCTGATATTTGGTAAATTATTAAGGATATGAGTTATTTCCAATGTTTTATACCTCTGCTGAGTTTGAGAGACTGCCCATAACTAAAAAGTAAATAAAGGAGTCGTATCGGAGAGTTGACAAATTGTCTCACTGTGTGTCAGAGGACATCTCTGATTTCATGGTCACCATGCCCTTTACTTGGAAGTGCTACTTTCTTTGGTTTCCTTTTGAGGATGCTGCTCTAGAGCCCAGAACAGGGAGAAAATATTCTCATAGCGTGTCACATCATAACTGGCTTGTACCTGATTTAGGTGGTTTTTTCCTTAAAGAATCTGTAGTAAGGTTTTCTCAAATTTTTCCAACTTCTTGGAACGCTTTTTAAGAATACAATTGGGGGGCCAGCAAGTGGCATGGTGGTTAAGGGCACTGGACTCCCACATGGCTGACCGTGGTTCGAGTCTTGGACCTGGCAGCTTGTTTTGTCTCTCTCTCTCTCTTTGGTCAAATTTAAATAAATAAATAAATAAAGTTAAATAAAAATAATTCTTTAAAAAACAAAAGAATATAATTAGGTAAGTTACAATCACTCAATCACTGATAAGTTGAGCTAAAGTACCAACATCTTCTGCCTGAAGCTTGAAAAAGGAAGTTTAAGATGATGGTTAAAAAATGATCAGCCATCTAGCAAGTGAATGAGAGATTCAGAGATTGTGGAAGAGTTTCTTTCAAAGTGGGGTAAGCCTGTTTTCAAACTACCTGATGGTGTCGAGTTCTTCAGTTCAAGTAGATGTTGCAAGAATTGCATGTGAGAAGACAGGACTTTCCAGGGTAGTACCATGCCTTTTCAGATGAGGCAGTGGTGGACACAGTGCTGGAACACCGCTCTCCACAAAATGCTGGACAGCCCTGATGGTTCTGTTCTCTGATCATTTGATAAATCTCACCCAGAATCTTCCACTAGAGTTAGTACATTTTCAGAATTTCTAGGTTTTTAATCCTAAGAGTAGGAAGATAAGTTTCTACTCTTAAATGATACTGACCAAATCTTGCCTAGAAGTTTTTGATAGAACTGTAGAACTTCAGCTTCCAAGGCTTTGACTTTTGATTTCCATTTCACCTCCTGCTCAGACATCAACACAGCAAGGTGCTCTGTGCTGAGCGAATAATTGCCAAGGCCAGAGTCAGCTCTGAGTTCTCAAATACCATGCTGGAACATCCACCCTTACCTACTCCTGGTTTTTGGTGGTTGCTGGCAATCCACGGAGTTCCTCAATATGCACTTCATCACTCTAATTTCTGCCTCCTTTTTTTTTTTTTACATGGCTGTCTTACCTGTGTCTGTCTAGGTTCTATTTTTTTAAAATGTTTCTTTCTTTAATAAAAGTGAGAGACAGAGAAAGACAAGCACCCTCAATAGGACTTCATGCTGAGATCCTCTTTCCCCATCCTTCCCAGTCAGTCAGGGTCCTGGCATGCAAACCTGTTGTATACAGGTGCACTGAGGAACTGAACCCATGATCTTCCATATGGATCCAGCATCTCCTGAGCGGCATGTGACCACTGTGAAACCTAGTCAGTGCCACTTTAAATAAGGAGATATTATTTATTAAACTTTGTGTTTTCTCTATATGATGCTATTTTTGTTTGTAGTTTTATTTTAACATAAATCTAGGTCATAGATTGTTGGATGATTTCTTCATTTCTGAAAATGAAAATAAAGGAGTGGGGACTGCAACATAGCCATCCCCCCAGGTGGAGATTTCTCGCTTTCTGTCTGTCTCAGTCTCTCCAGTGAGCGCATGTGCCCTATAACAGAAAATCTCTCTCCAATAAATAAAATGAAATCATCATCAAATTTGGCTCTGTAGTCTAGTGGTTAAAGAAGCTGGATTCCACATGGCCAGCTCTAGCTAGAATCCAGGCCCAATGCCTTGTAAAACATATCTGGAACATGTGCATGAGTGCTCTAAATTCTCACAGGATGGAAAAATGGAGACAAGATGGTGGTATGACCACATCCCCACTAGGGGAGGGGTTTGTTCTCTCTCTCTCTTTCTTGAGCACATATACGCCTCTGATAATTAAACAAAAATGAACACTGTGATAACCAATAGCATCATGAATACCATAATTTCTCAATTATAAATGAAAAACTTATATTTTTCAATACCATCACAAGTGCTTAATTCTAGCCTGGTTATTTTTACCCTATTAGGGAATGCATACTAAGAAAACATAAGAAACATCTTCAGCAAAAACATTTAGAAAAGAAAAGTCATGAAACTAAACCAAAAGAAACTAAACCAAGCATAACATCCCAGGACTCAGGTATTATCTCTGAGATCTGACTATATAAAGTTTTTTTCCCAAAAAAGGCTTGGAAAACCAAGTGTTTTAATGCCTAATGGCTTCTGGCAGGTTCCATAGCTATCTGTCTATCTATAAGTCATATAACTGAAACTAAGGACTCCTCATGTTGAAGAGTCAGACTAGACTATAAGGAAGACAGACTAAAAATCTGCTTGCCTATAATCCAGAGTTACAGGAAGAATGGTTGAGACAGTATATAAATCAGGCTGCGATAGTGAAATAAAAAGAGTATTAAACATTTCAGGACATTCTGTTTTTAATATATCCTTTTGGAGAGTGCCAGCACTTACAAATGAAAGAAAAAATGCTCAGGTGTGAGCAAGATTCAGAGTGGATCTTTCAACTCAAAAATTAATTAGATTCCTGTTTAGTACTTCTAGTCAAAATGTCTAAAAATACTAACTTAATACTGATTTTTCTTTTATTTTGCTAGCCTAATCAGCTTCAAACTAAGCCTCGCAAACGAGCACAAAAGCACAATACAATGATAGATGCTGGCTGCTGTTTACACGATCATGATGCATAGACCATGATACCTGTTAATAACCAGATTGACACACTTTCCCTCTCAGGCTTAATACAAATAATTAAACACTCAATTAGACACATTAGTTTAGGACATAAAGTTAAAGGGAACAAAGGGAACCGGCCTCATTATTAACTATTAGAAGGAGTATGATGAAGTATCTATAACCTAGTGAAATACTGTCCCCACCACCACCTTTTTTTAATTTGCTGAGGGTATATACACTCACAGGTGACAGAAAGAAAGGGAGAGAAGGAAAGTGAGAAACATCCCCCACAGGGAGATAGTCCTGCTGCAATCCCTGCCCCTCCATTTCTCTCTCCTTTTGAGATTTTTGGGTGCACACACAAACATGTTTTTCAGGCCACTGGGCCCACAGCTGTGCAGCCGCCCATGTGGAATCCACCCACCTTGGCCATCATGTCATCAGCTAGCCTCGATATTCATCTTGAAACATAATATCTTTCTCTGACTTTCTGGCTACTGAAGACAGCCTGTTTATAAAGTAAATTTCTCTTTTTTAAAGAATTGTTTATTATTTTAAATTTATTTTATAGGGCACATGCAGGCACTTGAGAGAGAGAGAGAAGGAAAGTGAGAAAGCAAGCTGTCAGGTCCAGGATTGGAACTGTGGTCAGCCATCGGGGGAATCCAGCACCCCACCACCTGGCCCCAGTAAATTTATTTTATAACTCCCTGAGCTCATATACGTATTTAACTAAAAGGCTAAAACAAACAAACAAAACCAAAAACAAACAAAAAAACAAGCACTTTATAATACAATTTAAAATTAATTTCAGGTTCTTTTAAGTAAGTTTCTAAGCTGAAGCAAGCATTGTGCTAGCTGTTTTATTTTAAGTCTATATCCTGATGTTACAACACTTCAAAGCTCTATCAGCACTTTGTTTACTGTCAGTGAGAGGGAAGGAGGTAGGGAGCATACAATCCCAAATTCATTTTCCTCCTTACAGTCGGTGAGACATACATAGCAACATATCAGTTGATGGGGACTTTTATCCACCTTTGAAGATGTATATTAACTTTTTTTAGCTGACGTCTCCTGAGTACCATTCCTAAGTTCTCTGTCTGAAGGAGGTTTGGTTAGTACTGTTTTGTAATTTTAATGAGATCATAGTGTTCAAGATTCCATTTGCAATGACATTTAGGTTCTTCTGAATTGAGTTTAACTTTGCTCTATTTGTACTAACTAGCTGTACTAATTAAAAGGTTTTCTAAGTTAGTCATAAAAGAAAAGCACTCTCATCACCTCCAGAATATGTTAAGAATATTAAGACAATGGTTTATAATACGAAGCAAAATATATAGTTTGGTAACAGCTGTCAGGCCAAATAAATGTTTTTAATGTACTAAATGTACCAGATACTCATCATTTGTTGCAATCAACCTTTATGAAAAAGTCATCCAGTGAAAAAACTAAGAAAACAATAAAAGAGCTTTACTGAAGATATAAACTTAGACTGAAGATGATCTCATGTTGAATAGTAACAAAAATATAAAAATTGGTATTAAAAAAAATTAGTATCTTAAAAATCAGTATTACCTGATCAAGAATTCTTCCCATTCTGTCAAATAAAACTTTTAAAAAATGACCTTCAAAGAAAGTTGCTTCTAAATTGCACTTTTCCAATGCTTTTGGAGACCCAGGCCACTCCCACCTTAAGCAGATAGCACAGTAGTCCCGGAACTGGGGAAAAAAGAATTTAAAACTATTATTAAAGAACAGAAAAACAAGTTAAGATGAAATACAAATGATTTCTTTAAGTAGGCATACAAGCTGTCAGGTCCAGGATTGGAACTGTGGTCAGCCATCGGGGGAATCCAGCACCCCACCACCTGGCCCCAGTAAATTTATTTTATAACTCCCTGAGCTCATATACGTATTTAACTAAAAGGCTAAAACAAACAAACAAAACCAAAAACAAACAAAAAAACAAGCACTTTATAATACAATTTAAAATTAATTTCAGGTTCTTTTAAGTAAGTTTCTAAGCTGAAGCAAGCATTGTGCTAGCCGTTTTATTTTAAGTCTATATCCTGATGTTACAACACTTCAAAGCTCTATCAGCACTTTGTTTACTGTCAGTGAGAGGGAAGGAGGTAGGGAGCATACAATCCCAAATTCATTTTCCTCCTTACAGTCGGTGAGACATACATAGCAACATATCAGTTGATGGGGACTTTTATCCACCTTTGAAGATGTATATTAACTTTTTTTAGCTGACGTCTCCTGAGTACCATTCCTAAGTTCTCTGTCTGAAGGAGGTTTGGTTAGTACTGTTTTGTAATTTTAATGAGATCATAGTGTTCAAGATTCCATTTGCAATGACATTTAGGTTCTTCTGAATTGAGTTTAACTTTGCTCTATTTGTACTAACTAGCTGTACTAATTAAAAGGTTTTCTAAGTTAGTCATAAAAGAAAAGCACTCTCATCACCTCCAGAATATGTTAAGAATATTAAGACAATGGTTTATAATACGAAGCAAAATATATAGTTTGGTAACAGCTGTCAGGCCAAATAAATGTTTTTAATGTACTAAATGTACCAGATACTCATCATTTGTTGCAATCAACCTTTATGAAAAAGTCATCCAGTGAAAAAACTAAGAAAACAATAAAAGAGCTTTACTGAAGATATAAACTTAGACTGAAGATGATCTCATGTTGAATAGTAACAAAAATATAAAAATTGGTATTAAAAAAAATTAGTATCTTAAAAATCAGTATTACCTGATCAAGAATTCTTCCCATTCTGTCAAATAAAACTTTTAAAAAATGACCTTCAAAGAAAGTTGCTTCTAAATTGCACTTTTCCAATGCTTTTGGAGACCCAGGCCACTCCCACCTTAAGCAGATAGCACAGTAGTCCCGGAACTGGGGAAAAAAGAATTTAAAACTATTATTAAAGAACAGAAAAACAAGTTAAGATGAAATACAAATGATTTCTTTAAGTAGGCATATAAAAAACCATCTCGGGGGGGCAGTGGGTGGCATGATGGTTGAGTCGCTGGATTCCCACATGGCCGTGACATGTTCCCACATGGTTCAAGTCCTAGACCTGACAGCTTGCTTTCTCACTCTCCTTCCCTTTCTCTCTCTCTCTCTCTTTGGTCAAAACTGAAGAAAAATGATAATAGAAAAAAACCAAAAAACCAAAAAAACAAAAAACAAAACAAAACCATCTGGGGCTGTCCCTGTGGCTTAGTAATTAAAGAAGCTAGATCCCACATTGCCTGCTGCAGGGTTCAAATCCCAGCCTTGGTGGCTTGGACCCATGTGCACATGTACCCTAAATACCAACAAGATGGGGAAATAGAGAAGGGATTGCTTGAATGACCATACCCCATTGGTTGGTGTTTTCTCCTTCTCTCTCTCTGTTTCTCTGTCCCTCTGGAAATCACACACACCCTCTGACAGATTAATAAAACAAAACAAAATTTGAATGAAGGATGTCTTTCTGTGGGGTGCCATGGGATGTATATAGATATTAAATGGATGAGAAATGAAAACGAGGGAGAAATGGTTTAGATATCCTCTGACTAAGGACATAGGTAATATTATAATCACTAATAACCAGTATAAATATGATTTTTTTAAAAAAGAATTTTTTTAAAGATATTTTTACTATTAGGGTGTTTGCACTTGCTGGAGAGACAGAGACACAGAGAGAGAAAGCAAGAAATCACTCCATTGAGGGGATAGCCACACCACAATTCCTTCTCTTCCATGCTCCTCTCAGGATTTTGGGCATCCAAGCACAAGCACTGGCATGAGTTTCAAGCTACCAGGTCCAGGACTCGAACTGTGGTCAACCACATGGGAGTCCAGTGCCTGGACCACTATGCCACCTGCTGCCTCCCCCCCCCCAAAAAAAAAGACATTTTAACTTTACTAAACTACCTTCTTTAATACGTATGCTTATGCTCTTTTCTTTAAAGGAATATAACCCTTATATTATTTTTATCACAGACTTAGAGAGCATTTAAAAATCAAAGTAAGACCTAGTCAAGTTTTCACTTTTTTCTAAAAGGTTACATATACTAGATGAAGAGTGCATGTTATCTGAGAAAGCAAATTTGACACTCCTAGTGTACCTAACCTAGGCATGCTGCTATAACAGCAAAAACCAGTGCTATTGATACTTAAAGTTTTTTTATCATCTACAAGGAGATGAGTATAAAAAACATGAGTAATCACAAAAACTGTCTTAGAAATTTGACTAATTCAATTTTATTGTATCTTACCAAAGTATTGGTCTGTAATAGATTGGAAATAACTAGTCCTTCACTACAGACAATTATCACTGGAATAAAATCATATGGATTTTTATATGCATAGAATATCTCAGACACTAAAAATTAATTTAAAATGTCTTCCTCAATGTGCAATCTATGTAACTTTGAATAAAAGAAATTTAGGGCATTGTTTTTTTCCCAGAATCTTTCCCTTTTCAGCTTCTCTTTACTCAATAAAGCAAATTTACTTTGACCTCTTTAGTTTGAAAGGAAGTAAAATCTCCTAGGGAAACAGAACAGCATCAATAAAAGGACACAAATATTTAGACAGCGTAAAAGTCATAGTAAGAAATAAAGATGAAAAAGTAGGCTAGGCAGAGACCAGCAGATGGCGTAATGATTACACTGCTGGACTCCAACATAGTTGACAGGGTTCGAGCCCTGGACCCAGCAGCTTTAAAAAGCTCATGCTGGGCACATGTGCATGCGTGTCCAAGATTCCGAGAGGAGAATGGAGAAGAAGGGATTATGGTGTGACCATCCACCCAGAGGGTGATTTCTCACTTTCAGTCTCTTTGTCTTTCTTGTTTCTCAGATGAACACATGTGCCCTCACAAAAATCTCTCTAAAAAAAAAAAAAAGAAAAAGTAGACTGGGCCGGCCTTATAGCCAGGTAGTTAGGAAGCAGAATCCCATATAGCCGAACAGGGTTTAAATTCCAGGTCCAGTGACTTGAAAATCATGCTGGGTACATGTGCATGTGTGCCCAAAATTCAAATCATTAAAACAATCTTGAAAAAAAAATTGGAAAGACTCACACCTCTCAATTTTAAAACTTACTACAAAGCTGCAGTAATCAAGACATTGTGGTACTGAGATAAGGACACACAGAGATGAGTGGAACAGAACTGATAGTCCTGAAATAAACCTGATATTTATAGTCAATAAACAAGAAATAGTCTTTCAAACAAATAGTGCTAAGACAACTGGATATATACATGTGAAATAAAAATTAATCTGGACCTTAATTCACACCATATACAACAATTAACTCAAAATGGATCAAAGACCAAAACATATGAGCTGAAACTCTTAAAAAATTAGGTGAAATCTTTGTGACTATAGATTAGACAATGACACAAAAAACACAAAGGAGAAAAACAAATAAACTGTACTTTACCAAAAAAACCCCACTTTTGTACATCAAAAGACACTATCAAGAAAGTGAAAATGGCCCAGCCTAAGTGACATAGTAAGTAGCACACTGGACTGCAGACATGGAGGACTCATGACCAACTCTAGGTTTGGATCCCTGAAATACAGTGGGAATCACACACATGCCAAAGATCGTGATGACCTGGAGGACTAGAGTAAGGTTATCACAGCCTGAAGACAGCCTATCAAGGTTACTTTTCCCTCTTTCATGAGTATGTGTTCTCTAACACGACTGAGAGAAAACTTAAAAAAAAAATAGGAAAGTGAAAAGACAACCCCCAGAATGGGAGAAAATATTTTAAACCATAACCTGATAAGGTTCTAGTATCCACAATATGTGAAGAACTCTTATGACTCAATGATAAAAAGGCAACCAACTGAAAGATGGGCAAGAAGATATACAAATGCTCAAAAACACATGAAAAGGTACTCAACATCATTCATCGTCAGGGAAATGTAAATCGAAACCACAATGAGATACCACTTCACACTGACTAGGATGACTATAAAAAAAGATAACAAGTGTTGACTAGGATATGGAGAAATTGTAAGCCTTGTTTCCAATGGAGAAGAAAACACTCCCCCATGAAGAATGGTCACTCCACAACACTTTCTCCTTCATTTCTCCCTCCTTTTTGGATTTTGGCCATGCACGCACATGCTCCCAGTGTATCAAGTCACCAGGTCTGGACACAAACCGCATAGTTAGTCATGTGAGATCCAGCTGCCATAACCACCAGGTCGCAGAGCTGACCCCAGGTCTCTTGTTTAAATGGAACGGAGTAATTTCTTTGGAGTGACAGTGGCAGACAATATGACAAGGTATGTACGTGTACAGTTTTAGTAGATTTCATTTGAAAAATTATGACTTCACTTGCCTGCCTATGAGCATCTCGGAGGTAGGTGTCATATCCAGTGCCCTCAACATGATAGGATGATTTTGCTTCATCCGGTACCAGACAGAGAAAGCTTAAATGAAAAAGATCATAATCAATGACATAAATACTCTCACAATTCAACAATATCTTTATATATATATATGTATTAAAGAATCTAGTGATAACCTAAGGTTAGCCAAGTATTAATACAAATGGAAACATGAAAAATAATATTATATATTGAAACTTTACCTTAGATTAGTCCTACAATTCACTGATTTGCTTTCATTATTTTAAAGATTTTATTTTAAAAATACTGACTACAATTAAAGTAAAAATAAATTAAGAAAGATATTTTATGATTGTTGTACAAGGATGAATTGCTCTGGTATTTGTTAATCTCAGGAAACTGGCTTTTAGGTAAACAAACTTGAGATATTTATGTACCCTACTTTTGTGTCTTGAGCCACATACAATTTTTTCTAAAAATCACTTACTAGGATCACACAAATCAGTGACAGTACATCAAGGGAAGAAAGGGAGAAAACTACTACAGAAAGGGTAAAAATAAAGGGACCAGCAAGGTAGTATGGTGATTAAAGGCACTGGACTCCCACATGGTCAACTGTGGTTTGAGTCCCAGACCTGACAGCTTTTTTTCTCACTTTCTCTCTCTGTGTCTCTCTCTCTGGTTAAATTTAAATAAACAAATAAAGTTAAATTAAGAAAAAAAGTAAAAATACAAACTAACTAAAAAGGAATAGTTCTATGCTTAGTATATATGTTTAATAAGTACAATTAGTCAAATTGGCAATTCTTAATGTTTTTACAACTGGAAATTACTTTAAATGAAGTAATTTATATTTAAAAAATGGAGTACTTTGAGGGTTTATTTAACCACTGTTGTTTTTATTTTTATGTTAAGTAGAGCTTTTATCTTGGAATTAACTGTTGCCCCTAGCTGTCACTTACTACATAAACAAGACAAAAAAAAAAGGCTGACATCATTTTTAAAGAAGATTGATTTCATAATATAATTCTGTAACAACCTAAGAGCACAGCTATTATGTTAGGCAAACAAGAAAAAGAGATACAGGTCAAAGTTATGTCACCACTCACCTATTTACAATTTTATGGACTTCAGTCTTCCCATCATTTTTGGGGTGGTCTGGAGTAGCAGGAGGTGAAGAAGTAAGCCACTCTTGGTTTGACAAAGTATTATCTGGTGAAATGTCAGTAAATAATGGGTCTTCTTCCAGATCACTAAGTTAAATTGAATGATATATATAAAAATAACATTTTATTATGACATTTCTAAATCAGAAGATTCTCTGCTATGTTAGAAAATATTACATAAATTTGCTAATATAAAAGATCAAGAAATAATGTCTTTAGGTTTTAGACAAATTACACATTTACTAACAAACTCAAGACACTAATTTTGTTATTCAGTTTAATGGATACATAATATCACTTGTAATTTAAAAGGACGGTAGTATCAGAGCATCTAGTTTTACTTTTCAAATCTTTTAAACTGTTAGAGGTGTTCTTTACAGAACAGGGAAAGAAGAGGATAGAGAAAAGTTCTGACTATATCAGATGCTGAACTCACGGAGTTGGGTGGAAACTTACACTGCTCCTGCTATCAATCCATTCTCTACCACATCTTTATCTTCTGGGCACAAAGGTTTATATTCTGTATAATTTCTTTCTTCAAGATTTCTTAGGACCAAGTTGTAAAGAATGTGCTCATTGGGTTTTTGTAAAAGATGTTCAAACATTCTTAATGTCATTATGCTTATCTGAAACCAAAATTGATAAAAGCTAACTAAAAATATCTTTAAGTTGTTTTTGCCATCTTCTAAGTCAAGTTTTCAACGTTTAAAGTCATATAAAAGAAGAGGCTGTACTCAAAACACTGCAAAGATATTAAAATCAGTACTTAAAAGAATCTAAGTCCAATTCTACATCATTACATAGCTTACCTCATCAGAAATGTGATCACAATGTTCAATTAACCTATGTCTTAAAGGATGTGTGCTAATTTCTGCCAGAGTTTCTGGTTCCCTTTGTTCTCCAAGGATGAAAAACACTATTTCTTGAAGCAAAACATCAGAGGTTACTTGTCGAACAATGCGATGAAGCAGAGCAGTTGATGTCAGAATACCCATCTCAGAACTGAGCAAAACAAACAGATAATTAGTTGGCAAAAATAAAGCAAACATAGTGCTAATCTTTTTTTCTTTTCTTTAAAGAGGCTACTCACGTTTGCATTAACTGAGGTTCCATAACACCAATGAAAAATCTTTCATGAACAGCTTTGGCAAGAGCAACAGCAGCAGTCTAAAATATAGTATGAGCATTATTATTTTCTTAATGAAAAAAGAGATTGATTCATAACCTCAAGAAATGAGTTTGCATTCCCCTTCTGAAGTAATGTGGAAAAACAAAACTTGCCTATTGACCTTGCTGATAGTTAGAAACCTAGATTAGATGTTAGCTATTGGGTTGTTTACATTTTTTTTAATCATCATCTATACTTTAACTTTTCATTTTTTTTGCCTCTTAAATGTTTTGTTTGCAACCCTTTTTCTCTCTTTCCAAGAATAAGGGAAACAGGACAGAACATTATCCCAATAACCAATGGTTAATATCTCTTCAAAGAGGCATACCGAAGGGAAGTCATTATTACCTTTGAAGCACTATACCACAATACTTAATAAAATATAAAAACCAGAACTTAAACTTCAATTTATTCCAGAATTATAATACAAACACACACATACACTTTTTAAAATTTATTTTGCTAACTGTGCTAATATTAAGAAAATTAAGATACATCTGGGATATAAATGAGGGATTAAGATATATTAGTGGATATAAATTTCACTTACTAGGGTTTTACATTTTAAAGATATCAATAAACAACAACAAAACCCCCTCAAACCTTTTGTGCTTCTTTAATGAGTTGATCACAATAATCAAACCAGGAAAGAAATGAAATTAAGGCTCGTTTTCCTGGAAATGCTGAAGCATCTTCTTTATGACTGTATGAGTCCAAGCTGTAGGAAATGGAAGAAATGCCAAGTCCAAAGTTATCCACAAGAACAAACCCTATTCAGTATATACAGGAAAACGAAGGTTTGTGAACGAGCTCACTTAGTGTGATATATTCACACGGGCAATGGTGGGTGACAATCAGAAGAGGGTTTTATAAAAGAAGTCCAAGATAAGAAAAAAACTTTTAAATCAAAGCTATAAATAAATTTCACCCATTAAGTGGGAAGACAGAGACTAAAGCTAAATGGAGCTGTAGGAGAAAAACTACGTGGACAGCTCCTTATACTTCCACCATAAATTTGGCCAAACAGCAGCAATGACAGGTGGAGGTTCTCAGATACTGGGGTGGAAGAAATGGGAGGTAAGTGGAGGATCTGCAAAAAGAAACGGTAAATGGTTTGCTTCTCTTCCTGCCTTAAAATGCAATATTCTCCTCAAGGTAACAAGTGAGTCTGCCCTGTAGATGTTACTAGAATGTAGGTTAGAAAAAACAAGTAAGAAAAACAAAAAAGCAAAACACAGAGAGAAAAATAGTAAGAGGTTATCATGTCAAAATATCAGACTGCTTATGGTGGTGGAGTTATGGGTCATTTTATTTATTTTGTAATAACTTATGAGTGTACTGTGCAGTGTCTTATTTTCCTGAGAGAATTAAATAATAAGGGAACCCTAACAGGTAGGTAGAAAGGATGGAAAAATGAGTTAGGAGGAAAGATTCTATAGAAGCAGGCCACGAGACACATGAAACTGCTCTAGAGGCTGCGGAAATTATTTATTTAAAAAAGGAGATCCTTCTTTTTAGAGATTTTTGTTTTCGATAAAAATAATCAGGTAGTCTGGCTCTGCAGCCTAGTGGTTGAAGGATCTAAATTCCACATGGCTGACTGCAGTCCAAACTCTGACCTGGTGGCTTAAAAAACACACCAGACACATGTGCATGCATGCCCAAGATCCTGACAGGAAGAAGAAATGGGGGAGAAGAGGTTGTGGTATTACACTGGGGGGATGCTTACTCTCTCTCTGGCATATGCTCCCTGGCAATGAAAAACAAATGAATAAAACTAAAAAAATGTATTTAAAAAATCAGGAAAAGTCACTGATCTTAATATGAGCCTTTAAAATTGGATCAGTATAGGGCTGGCCCTGTAGCACAGTGGTTAAGCCAGAACCCACGTGACTGAGCATGGTTCAAATTTGGGTTTCAGCAGCTTGAAAAACATGCCAGTCCCATGTGTGTACGTAACCTAAATCCCGATGTGAAGGAGGAATGGAAGAAAAAGGATTGCAGTGTGACCATGTCCCATGGGTGGATGCTTTCCATCTCTCTCTCTCTGGCAAGTATATGTGCCCTCTAGCAATAACTTCTTTTAAAAGTTCTTCAAAAAGTGGACAGAATAAAAGTAGGTGGACCTGGTTCCTTGGCACAGAGGTGACACACCGTGTGTGTGTGCCAGTCTTCCAGATCCAAAGGGCTGGAGGACTGGGAGGAAGGGAACTGCTGCATAGCCAGACCCATGGAGAGGTGCTTATTTCTCTCTCTCACTTAATTCCCAGATATACACACACATGTGCTCTATCAGGAATAAATTTAGGGGGAAAAATGAGCTTAACTATATAACAGTCGTATGACTCTCACACCAATTCATTACCACTGAATGATAAAATATTTAATACAAGCCTCAAGAACATTTTCCCATGTAGTGATGACTAGCCGTGTTACGTTTTTCAAAACTAAAGATGTCTATCATTGCAAACAAATTTTAAAATGCAGGTGTAAGAATTCATCTTTATGGGAAGACATAAATAATGGTGCTTACCCCCAGTTAACTGCTTCCACTGTTTCAATATCTAACGGATCCACTGTTTGAGGTAGGGCCTTGTACAGGGAGGCAAGTCTGTCTGTCAGCAGTTCGCACAAGCAAGTGCTCTGAGTAAGGCACTTGGCAGCCGCAGGCTCGGGCAAACTTACTAACAACATCAAGCCCTCGCAGGCTTTCACAGCTATTCGGCCATCCTGAGGGGAAAAAAACACAACCTTTCAACTTCTGAGTTAGATACACATCAAACTGTTCAGAAAAATTCAACATGAAAAGATTTAACGTGTTGCGCTAAAAGAAGAATAGGTTGTTTTTCTGTATTAAATGAGTATTACTGTGATCGTATTAGGGGGAAAAAAAAATAAAGACAATGACTCACAGGGCTTCGAGTAAGATTTAACAAAGAATTCACTAAATTGTAATCCTGGTTTGGACGAACTACTGAGGCCTCAGGCAGTGAAGTGACATTGAGGTTATCCAAGCTTGTGGACAGATCATCTATCTGATGAGAAGGTTCATCTTCTAACTCTGTTTGCTCCACTCCAGTAGCACCAGAGAGTTCTTCTGGCTGACGGGACTGTCCCGTATCTGACAAGGAATCTTGACCTTTTAAAGTATCTTCTGAAATTACATTTGGTACTCCTCTGGAAGCCAATGACTTCAACTTATTCTGAAAAGGAATAAATATCAAGAACCAAAAACAACTAATATTAGTAGAAAAAAAGTTTGAAGAAGTTTCAGTTGTGGTTAATTTTTTTTTTTCATCACTAGACTGCTATAAATGCATAGTCTCGATCTTAATTCTATGATTCATCGGGGAAAAACACAAACTTACAAATAAAAATAATATAAAGTTCAAAAGCTACCAGCATTAGATCTAAGGTTTCCACAGAAGCCTCATAGTCTCTAAACTATATAAGAACTTTTTCTAAGTTTTTTCCTCATACTTCTGCCTATAAGAAAATACTAATGACATTTTTATTGGTACCTTTAAGGATAAGAAAATAAGACTTACTCGAAGTGTCAAATGTAACATAAACATAACCAAACACAAACAGAAAAAGAGATCATCACGTGTCCACCTTCAGGAGGCAGGAGCTCATGGCCCTGAGTTAGTCATAAAGGCTATTGAAGAGATTAATGAAGACCATCCAGTAGAAATTTACGAGTATTTATCAACATTTGAGAATTCCACTGATGCTGTGGATAAGAGGCTGAAGACCATGATCATGATGTCTGTTTCTAGAAAAGAGTTGATGCAGAAGTTGGACACACTTGAGCAAGCGAAAGTGGATTTAGTTTCTACATATGCAATAAATTCAATGTTTTGGTTTATTTAGCAACTCAAGGAATTAATCCTACGGAGTATCCAGTAAAGCAGGAAATGCAAAGAATCATGAAGAGTAAAGGAGATAACAGACAAAAAAACAGGCTGGCAAGCTGGATAGAGGTACAGCTTCAAGATCTGTAAAAAAATGTCCTTTGGGAACCAAAACCTAAAAATGCATTGAAAGTTGGCAGTAAAGAAAAAATGTTTATTTGTAGAAGTAAGAAAGTATTTGAAGGACCAGCAGATGGCGTAATGGTTATGTCGCTGGACTCCCACGTAATCGACCACGGTTCAAGTCTTGGACCTGGCAGCTTAAAACTCATGCTGGGCACGTGTGTGTGTGTGTGTATATGCCCAAAATCCTGAGAGGAGAATGGAGGAGAAGGGATTGTGGTGTGGTCATCCACTCTGAGGAGTAAGTTTTCACCTTCTGTCTCTCTCTGTCTCTTCAGAGACCACACATGCCGTATAGCAAAAATCTCTCTCTCTAAAAAAACAAAAGAATATATTCCACTGTATTATGTATAACTTTTTTAAAAATTTTAATTTGAATGGAGAGGGACAGAGTGAGAGAAAGAGAGAGAGTGAGAGAGAGAGAAGGAAGGTGGGAAAGCGAGCTGCCAGGTTTGGGACTTGAACCATGGTCAACCATGTGGGAGTCCACCACCCTTAACCACCATGCCACCTGCCATGTATAACTTTTAATTAATTAATTAATACTTTTAGCACATTTAAAAAAAGATTCTCTTTTTCTTTTTCTTCCTTTTTTTTAATCTGTCAGAGAGGGGAATGGTCATGCCACAATTCCCTCTCCTCCAACCCTCCAGGAATTCTGGGCACACTCGCACATGTTCCTGGTGTGGTGACATGTTTCTCGAGCCACAGGGTCCAGAACTAAAGCCCTGTGGTTAGCCATGTGGGATCAAGCTGCCCCAACCACCAGCCATGGAACTGATCCCAAAGAGAATCTTAATTGAAGTAAATTATTAGTTTCAAGGCAAAAGTGTCTTGCATTCCATTTGCACATAAGCACAGAATGAAATTACACACTCAAGTTAAAATTAATCATAAACAAGCTCTTCTACAGTACTTTGCTCACCATAGATGCATATTCGAGGCTAAGTAAATTCAAGTTTCTACTTCTAAAGCTACATTAGTCATTGTAAATCACTTTAATTGCTGTTAAAAGTATATTTTAGACCAATCTTGGAAAACTAAGCTCATGGCACATGTATCAAAAGAAAACAATTCCATGAAACTTAGTAAATACTCCAAATGATAGTTAATGTTTTTCTGATCACTAGACTACTGTAAATGCATAGTTTTAATCTTAGTTCTTAACTGTCAAAATCAATTTTATATCATACTCTATAAAAGGAAAATATTTTCTTCCATCTAAACCACTATTGATATTGTTGAAAGAGGTGTCTCAAATAAGAACGACAGGAAGAATAATCTTAGCATAACACCCATTCCTTAAAGTAGTGTTCTTTGAACTGGGATTCAAGATTGTTGGCATCTTGTCTTCTGTGGAGAGTGATAAAAGTGAAATTCCTGAGTCCCATCCAGACCTACTAAATGACACTATCTTCAGGTGAAGCCAAGGGTTCTGTTATTTTATTTATATATTTATTTATTTATTTAGGAGAGATTTTTGTTATATGGTGTGTGTGCGTGCTGGAGAGACAGAGAGAGATAGAGAGACAGAAAGCATGAAATCGCCCCCAGGAGGGATGCTCATGCGACAATCCCTTCTCCATTATTCTCCTCTCACGATTTGGGGCACACACAAGAGCACCCAATGTGAGTTTCAAGCTGCTGGGTCCAGGTCTTGAACCACAGTCAATCCCATGGGAGTCCAGCACCTTAACCACTATGGCACCTGTTGGCCCCAAGGACTCTGCATTTTAGAAGAGCTCTCTTGGTAATAAGGAACTCCTGCCTTAACTCTTGTACTTTGCTTCCTGTTAAAATGGTTATCTTTCTACTTTAGGGATCTCATCAGTAACTACCACAGTGTATGTACTTTATTCCTGAATCTTAAACCCAGACTTCCCTCTGGAATCATAGATTTGTCATACCAATATCTGCTAATTATCTCCATCAAGATATCATGACTACTCAGAACTACTACTACTACTATAGAACCAAAACTACCATCTTCCCCTCTAAGTTAGCTCCTTTCGGGTCTCTTCTTTGCACTAGGTGCAGCCTTATTAGTTTAGAAATTCAAGCATTCAAGACATCCTTTCTCTGCCTTCCTGCACCTGAGCAATTATAAGACCACAGGGAGCCTTTCCCTGGTTTCCTCAATATTCCTACTTCATTTCAACTCATTGCTTTCAAATTCCAGTCTTTGCTACTTTTTGCCTGGATTACTCCATCAACTTTCAAGTCAGTTTCCCTGCTTTCCTCTCTCCTCTGAAAGGATTCCACTGCAAAAATTGCTGCTGTCAATTTAAACTTAAGGCGCAAGTATCACCATGTAACAGAGACCTATTCAAAAATCATTAATGACTCCCTGTCAAAAAATAAGCACAAGCTCCTCATCTTGACATCTTAGTCTATTTGTTCAGACCCTTCTTACCACATTTTCCGAATATACTGTCTCCTGAATACATCATAAACTTTTATATCTTCCTTCCTATGCTCCCTCATTCTTTTCTTTTCTTTTCTTTTTTTTTTTTTTTTTTTGGCTATAGTGAACATGACCCCCCCCAAAA